GTGGCGCTGATTAAAGGCAGACCTAGGCTCATATACCCACAGGGTCAAAAAGGAGTGTGCATCTTCAGATTATCATATTCCGAGAAGATACATGGTTAAGTCCCGGGCACAATAGGGCTTGCCTTGGTTTCCGACCACTCAGCTCTATCCACCAGGTTGTGACAGCTTCTACTAATTTAGACTACGCGGACTAGGATACTGCTGCCAGAAGTAACGTGCCTACACAAAGAGTGCTAATTCTAATGATCATTTGTCTTTATTTAGTTCGGCGGTCTGTTTAACAATAGGTAGAGGCACCACGAATTGAAGCTTGTCTTTTTTACCTAGAACAGACAAGGCAATAGCAGCTGGCCCCAGACTAAATGCAGTTTATCAGAGGCCATGCATATGTGCTGGGAATGCGCCCATTCGCACAATTACTCTGTTAGGAAACGGCTAACAGATAGATAGCCTGCGCAAGTAGCCGCGCTCACAGCAGGCTATCGATCGGCCTACAGGCAGCGAATTCAACTCGCGGTCACATCAATCGATAATTCAAAATTTAAGCTGGATGACAGCCGCCGAGTCACAGCCAATCACGCCGGTAGCCAAAAGCTGATTGGCTCGATGGACCAAGCTTACACTCGTTCGTGGCCCTAGATTTGTTGTACCTTTACGACTTGCTGTAACGTGCTTGTCTGAGTAAACTCTCTCTCTCTGGCCGACTGGTCTTCTCTCTGTCTCGCTCGTACGGGCTCTTTTGTTCAGTATTCGTGTTAATTCGAAGTACCGCAGCGGGTCTTAACAATATATGTGTGTGAGCCTTCAGAATGCGTAAAACTCACCGAAACAACTGACGCGAACGCACAGAGTTCCTCCGTGAAGATACGCACGCACGCAATGAACTTCAGTTGGGTGAGGATAGAATCCGGCTTCACGGGCAGCGTGCTCTCCAAATCTACGGCAGTTGGAAAAAGGGGGATGAGGTTGCGATTAAGAGGGCTGGGACTTGATCAGACGAAAAAAAGGCAAAAAATAAAGGGTTGTTGCTAGCCCCATTCCAACCTTAAAAGTAGCCAGCAATGAAAGAGGAGGTCAGCGACATTTCCTGTCACTCGACCAGCATTCAACGAAAGCCCTGCTTTCAAAAGTGTCCACCAGAGTGCAAGACCAAGGGGGATTCTATGAGTCCACCTAGAGTTACAGTAGCTAATCTCCACTTCGTCTGTATAGAATAAACCGTTCCTACCACTCTGGCCTCCCGGCTCTTTTCTTCGCCTAAAGAACCGGGCTTTTATGATTCCTATACTATAGCTCCCCAATAGCATAGAGAAACATATAAGCACACGGCATGTCATTTGGAACTAAAGAGGATAGCTGGGAATTCCTATCGTCTAGACAAGACGCCTGCATAAGTTGTCATACTGCCAGCCACGAGAAATTGCAACTGCAGCACGGCTACTGTCAGCTCTGATTGGTCAATGTCTCAAACACTTTCTCAGCAAGCTGGTCAATAAGTACAGGCAGCCTTTTTGTGAGAATGATTAATTAGTTGTGACTGTACATCCACACATGGTCGATTGCCTTCGTCTCCTTTTCCATGCTGGCTTGGGGAACAACAGTCTGGCAAGCCCAAGGATCCTGTTATATAAAAGCACCAAGCGCGGGTCATAACAGGGATCGAGAAAGGGCGCTTTTATAACAGAAATATACCCTTTCTTCAAGTTGTAAAACGTCATTTGTTACCAACTTATTACACGAAAGAATATATTTCTAGCGTGGATGTTTTATAAAAACATCTCTGAGTTTATAAGAGCATCAAAAGAATTGGGAGGATAAAATAATAACACTTAAGTTATTGCCAATACAAGCAAACATGCGAGTCCCAGGAAGTAATTGAGAAGTAGAAG